TTGCTGCACCACACAGCGTAGGGTGGTGATGGCCAAGACCCTGGGCAGGGTCGAGAGGGCCTGGCTTCCTTCCGCTGGGGGATGTGTTTGCAGTTGGTGGGGTCCCTCCTGGCGGTGCCCACGTGGTGCTGGGGATGGAAGCCCTCGGCTCCAACACGTGACTCAGCCCTGTCCTTGGGAACACCTTCAGCCAACCACACTTGCCTCTCCAGGAACAATTCTGGGATGTGATGGATGGGGCAGAGGCTGTAGGTAACAGGGTCTATCACTCTGCATGTGGGCGGGGAGGTTACCCACTCGCAGACGCATGCACGGACACGCTCACTCTTGTGGAGACACACGCGCGGACACGCTCACTCTCACGGAGACACACGCGCGGACACGCTCACTCTCGCAGAGACACACGCACGGACACGCTCACTCTCACGGAGACACAGGCGCGGACACGCTCACTCTCGCGGAGACACACGCGCGGACACGCTCACTCTCGCGGAGACACACGCGCGGACACGCTCACTCTCGCGGAGACACGCGCGGACACGCTCACTCTCGCGGAGACATGCGCGGACACGCTCACTCTCGTGGAGACACACGCGCGGACACGCTCACTCTCGCGGAGACACACGCGCGGACACGCTCACTCTCGCGGAGACACACGCGCGGACACGCTCACTCTCGTGGAGACACAGGCGCGGACACGCTCACTCTCACGGAGACACACACGCGCACACGCTCACTCTCACGGAGACACACGCACGCACACGCTCACTCTCGCGGAGACATGCACACGCACGCTCTCACGGAGACACACATGGACACGCTCACTCTCACGGAGACACGCGCACGCACACGCTCACTCTCACAGAGACACACGAACGCACACGCTCACTCTCACGGAGACACACGCGCGGACACGTTCACTCTCACGGAGACACACGCACGCACACGCTCACTCTCAGGGAGACACACGCGCGGACACGCTCACTCTCAGGGAGACACACGCGCGGACACGTTCACTCTCACGGAGACACACGCACACGCTCACTCTCAGGGAGACACACGCGCGGACACGCTCACTCTCAGGGAGACACACGCGTGGACACGCTCACTCTCACGGAGACACACGCGTGGACACGCTCACTCTCGCAGAGACACACGCGGACACGCTCACTCACGGAGACACACGCGCGGACACGCTGACTCTCAGGGAGACACACGCGTGGACACGCTCACTCTCGCAGAGACGCACGCACGGACACGCTCACTCTCACGGAGACACACGCGCGGACACGCTCACTCACGGAGACACACGAGCGGACACGCTGACTCTCAGGGAGACACACGCGTGGACACGCTCACTCTCGCAGAGACGCACGCACGGACACGCTCACTCACGGAGACACACGCGCGGACACGCTCACTCTCACGGAGACACATGCGCGGACACGCTCACTCTCACGGAGACACAGGCGCGGACACGCTCACTCTCACGGAGACACAGGCGTGGACACGCTCACTCTCGCAGAGACACGCGCGGACACGCTCACTCACGGAGACACACGCGCGGACACGCTGACTCTCAGGGAGACACACGCGTGGACACGCTCACTCTCACGGAGACACGCGCGGACACGCTCACTCTCACGGAGACACAGGCACGGACACGCTCACTCTCACGGAGACACAGGCGCGGACACGCTCACTCTCACGGAGACACACACGCGCACAAGCTCACTCTCACGGAGACACACGCACGCACACGCTCACTCTCGCAGAGACATGCACACACACGCTCTCACGGAGACACGCATGGACACGCTCACTCTCACGGAGACACGCGCACGCACATGCTCACTCTCACAGAGACACACGAACGCACACGCTCACTCTCAAGAAGACACACGCGCGGACACGCTCACTCTCAGGGAGACACACGCGCGGACACGTTCACTCTCACGGAGACACAAGCACGCACAAGCTCGCTCTCAGGGAGACACACGCGCGGACACGCTCACTCTCAGGGAGACACACGCGCGGACACGCTCACTCTCACGGAGACACACGCGCGGACACGCTCACTCTCACGGAGACACACGCGCGGACACGCTCACTCTCACGGAGACACACGCGGACACGCTCACTCTCACGGAGACACAGGCGCGGACACGCTCACTCTCACGGAGACACACGCGCGGACACGCTCACTCTCGCGGAGACACGCGCGGACACGCTCACTCACGGAGACACACGCGCGGACACGCTGACTCTCAGGGAGACACACGCGTGGACACGCTCACTCTCACGGAGACACGCGCGGACACGCTCACTTTCACGGAGACACAGGCGCGGACACGCTCACTCTCACGGAGACACACGCGCGGACACGCTCACTCTCACGGAGACACACGCGCGGACACGCTCACTCTCGCAGAGACACGCGCGGACACACTCACTCACGGAGACACACGCGCGGACACGCTGACTCTCAGGGAGACACACGCGTGGACATGCTCACTCTCACGGAGACACGCGCGGACACGCTCACTCTCACGGAGACACAGGCGCGGACACGCTCACTCTCACGGAGACACACGCGCGGACACGCTCACTCTCACGGAGACACGCATGGACACGCTCACTCTCACGGAGACACACGCGCTGACACGCTCACTCTCGCAGAGACACGTGCAGACACGCTCACTCACGGAGACACACGCGCGGACACGCTCACTCTCAGGGAGACACACGCGCGGACACGCTCACTCTCACGGAGACACACGCGCGGACATGCTCACTCTCACGGAGACACACGCGCGGACACGCTCACTCTCACGGAGACACACGCGCGGACACGCTCACTCTCACGGAGATTCGCACGGACACGCTCACTCTCACGGAGACACACGCATGGACACGCTCACTCTCAGGGAGACACAGGCGCGGACACGCTCACTCTCACGGAGACACACGCGCGGACACGCTCACTCTCACGGAGACACGCGCGGACACGCTCACTCTCAGGGTGACACAGGCACGGACACGCTCACTCTCAGGGAGACACACGCGCGGACACGCTCACTCTCAGGGAGACACAGGCACGGACACGCTCACTCTCACGGAGACACACGCGCGGACACGCTCACTCTCGCAGAGACACGTGCAGACACGCTCACTCACGGAGACACACGCGCGGACACGCTGACTCTCAGGGATACACACGCGCGGACACGCTGACTCTCACAGAGACACGCGCGGACACGCTCACTCTCACGGAGACACGCGCGGACACGCTCACTCTCACGGAGACACACGCGCGGACACACTCACTCTCACGGAGACACGCACGCACACGCTCACTCTCACGGAGACACACGCGCGGACACGCTCACTCTCACGGAGACACGCGCGGACACGCTCACTCACGGAGACACACGCGCGGACACGCTGACTCTCAGGGAGACACGCACGCACACGCTCACTCTCACGGAGACACACGCGCGGACACGCTCACTCTCACGGAGACACGCGCGGACACGCTCACTCTCACGGAGACACGCGCGGACACGCTCACTCTCACGGAGACACAGGCGCGGACACGCTCACTCTCACGGAGACACACGCGCGGACACGCTCACTCTCACGGAGACACACGCGCGGACACGCTCACTCTCACGGAGATTCGCACGGACACGCTCACTCTCACGGAGACACACGCATGGACACGCTCACTCTCAGGGAGACACAGGCGCGGACACGCTCACTCTCACGGAGACACACGCGCGGACACGCTCACTCTCACGGAGACACGCGCGGACACGCTCACTCTCAGGGTGACACAGGCACGGACACGCTCACTCTCAGGGAGACACACGCGCGGACACGCTCACTCTCAGGGAGACACAGGCACGGACACGCTCACTCTCACGGAGACACACGCGCGGACACGCTCACTCTCGCAGAGACACGTGCAGACACGCTCACTCACGGAGACACACGCGCGGACACGCTGACTCTCAGGGATACACACGCGCGGACACGCTGACTCTCACAGAGACACGCGCGGACACGCTCACTCTCACGGAGACACGCGCGGACACGCTCACTCTCACGGAGACACACGCGCGGACACACTCACTCTCACGGAGACACGCACGCACACGCTCACTCTCACGGAGACACACGCGCGGACACGCTCACTCTCACGGAGACACGCGCGGACACGCTCACTCACGGAGACACACGCGCGGACACGCTGACTCTCAGGGAGACACGCACGCACACGCTCACTCTCACGGAGACACACGCGCGGACACGCTCACTCTCACGGAGACACGCGCGGACACGCTCACTCTCACGGAGACACGCGCGGACACGCTCACTCTCACGGAGACACAGGCGCGGACACGCTCACTCTCATGGAGACACACGCGCGGACACGCTCACTCTCACGGAGACACGCATGGACACGCTCACTCTCACGGAGACACACGCGCGGACACGCTCACTCTCACGGAGACACGCACGCACACGCTCACTCTCACGGAGACACACGCGCGGACACGCTCACTCTCAGGGAGACACAGGCACGCACACGCTCACTCTCACGGAGACACACGCGCGCACACGTTCACTCTCACGGAGACACGCGCGGACACGCTCACTCTCACGGAGGTACGCACGCACACGCTCACTCTCGCGGAGACACACGCGCGGACACGCTCACTCTCGCGGAGACACAGGCGCAGACACGCTCACTCTCGCGGAGACACACGCGCGGACACGCTCACTCTCACGGAGACACAGGCACGCACACGCTCACTCTCACGGAGACACACGCGCGGACACGCTCACTCTCAGAGACACGCGCGGACACGCTCACTCTCACGGAGACACATGCACGCACACGCTCACTCTCAGGGAGACACACGCGTGGACACGCTCACTCTCACGGAGACACAGGCGCGGACACGCTCACTCTCACGGAGACACACGCGCACACA